TAAAATTGTTTGAGCATGTGAATTTTAAGCAGTAAACATGATACAGAAACAGAATATTTTTTCTGACAGAAACCGGTGACTAATGCAGATTTCCTCCTTAAAAATATTTGCTTCAGCTGGACATTAATCTGTTAGCAGAAATTTCTGGGAAAGTTAGATATTTCTCAGCAAAAATTTATAAGAAAATAAATGTTTTACCTAGCTGACAAAATGGAATTGACAACCTTCAGAGGTGGCAATGTCTCATTTGCAGCAGAACTAGAGCAAAATAACAATTTTCTTTTTTATGTATACAAATAAGTATATATATTTCCTATTACTGTGATAATAGCCTTACACTAAGCCAAATGTGGTTATAAATTATTCCTAGCATCTTGTTTGAGTAGGGTGTCTAGGCAAGTATGTCCCTCCTCCCCATCTGTTTGACAGATATTTTTGTCTGAAATCCTAAAAGGTGAAAACTTTTAAGTTAGTCACATAGCTCTAACTGAGAACCTGCGGGTAGCTCTGTGTGTCACTTCTTCTACCACAACTCATGTCAGCTCCCGAGGAAGTACTTGAGTACAACTTATAATTCATAATGACTTATAATTTCTTTTTAACTCGCATCCTTTTCCCTAAACTTCTCCTTTGCTTCAGAGCTCTTAATGAGAAGGATTTTGCAACTATAAACAAGATTTTTCTAACTATCTGGAGTAAGGTTTTTTGCTGGTGCTCTTGAGTCAATCTGGTGCTTTGTTCTTTTTCTAGCTTGCACAGACAAAGAACTGAGGAATCTCGCGTCGCGACTAAAAGACTGGTTCGGTGCTCTTCACGAGGACGCGAATCGTGTCATCAAACCGACAAGCTCGGAGACAGCACAAGGCAGTAAGAAAACACCTTTCCCGTTGAATATTGAGTGTTGTAGGCAGCAACCCAGCCCGAGAGAGCATTGAGCTGAGCACAGCTGTTCGTGCTACAGCGTCACGCCAAGCAGGAGCCAGCACGTAGGCAGGTACGCGGGAGACCTGATCCTGCAAATAAATAGCTGCACCATTTTCTAAAGGAGCTGCAGTTGTTCTGTGCTCTCTCTGGCCCAAACTGCTCTAAAAACTGGCAGTCAGAGACAGAGAGACCTTTACAAGTTAATCAGGCAAATAACTGTGTCTGGTGGCCATGGAGGTCACATCTATACCAGCAAATAAAACTGCCCAGGGACTTTTCTCAAGCCCCGAGGTTAAATAGCATGACATGATTTGTGTCTGTACAGTTAAACTCCATGACCCTCCAAATCAGTGTGGCCGCATCCAAATCACTTCTTGGGGATGGAGCGTGGCATATGCTTACCTCCTAGTTCATGGCCAAGCATTTTCTGACCCAGTGTCAGTGGCACTAGCCAAAAGCGTGGCATACAAGCATGGGGAAAATCATGCCAATGTTGGAAAATCTCACTTTGATTTTATTTTGCAATTTCCTGCTAGCACCTTACATAAGGGAAAGAATAATAAAAACATCCACATCACAGCCACGAAGCTGGAATAGTTAAATGGTGTGGAAAGCTGGAATCTGTTGTGTCCCAGGTATTTAATAACACCATCTTTGCTTCCTTTGATGCTTTTTATTTTTTAAGAAAGGAAGAAAATGAATAGTTTAGAGGACATTTACTCTCTGTGGGTTTAGCCAACATGACTAATTTTGATGTCATTTACCCATGAGGGACGGGAAGATTCACATAACAGCATCAAAAGAGGTCATGTTCATCAGCGAGCAGAATTTTTTTTCTGTAAGGACTCATTAATTCTTTTAAATAGTATGTCCCAAAACACAAGGATCCCTGGGTTGCAAAGTAGGATGCACAAGTTTTATCTAGGTCTGTGGCTCACCTTCACTGCCCTGATTCTCTGGTACAAGCTGCCTAAAGCCAGGGTTAGCACACACAGAATTTAAAGGGTTCAGTCAACTGCTCCCTTTTACGGCTTTTTCGACCCCAGTGCCTTGTTTTCCTGTAGAGTGAGGCTGGAGGTGCTAAATGTGCCGCACATTGGCATGAGCATTTACTGTAGGTCCATGTCTCCACAGCCCCTCTTCTTTTGTGCTGCTTCTGAGCTGTGTAGCACTAGATTGCCTCTTCCTAAAGAGGCAGAATATACCACAGGCTCTATTGCTCAAAACTGTAGTCAAACTTCATTAATGCCAAATAACTGTATCCTAAAACTATGTGGTGAAACAAGCCATATTTTGTGCAAACGACCTGTTTCATATGTGCCTTACTTTCAATAGTATTTACAACAAAGTCAGTATCTTTAAAACCACATGTTCAACGTATTTCTTAAATGGTACTCCAAGAAGGGTATTCTTATCACGCGGAGGAAGCTGAACCATAGTGCAAAAAGACAACTGGATGTACAGCCAATCATGGCTTCAAGATGTGAATTCATTTCCGACCCCATGACAGAAAACGCCGGAGACTTAAAACTTTGAAGTCCTTTGGGCCCAGAACCACACGAAATCTCATTTCATCAGATTGTCAAAAGGATGTTTTTCATGCAGATGTCCCATGAGTTGCTCATGAGGAGCTTACCAAAGGCCAAATTCCTTCCTAAACATGTCAGGTCTTTTTTTTGCTGAAGGAATTTCAGTGCGAAAAACATTCCTGGTTATTCTGCAGTGTTTCCTCTGATTCACAGAAGAGCTGTTATCTCTTTTTAGTTTAATTTGGTACCTGGCAGCTTTTATATGAAAGGCTGCCTTGATGATCAACTTGATCTCAACAATGTTAATTTTTAGACTGTTGACTTAGTTTGGCACATTTTCTTATATGTCATTTAAAAAAAAAAAAAAGAAAGAAACTTTATGAGTTAAGGTGCCTAAATCATTTTTGAATGCCACAAAACTTGGGCTTGGTTTTTTCCTTTTAAGAGTTTGCAACAGTATTCATGTATTAATCTGGATGTACGAAATTCTGCAGCTCCAATTCTCTCTGGTAGCACTGAAAATACACACAGAGTAAGGATAGCAGTATTTGGCTTCCTCTAACTTAAACTTCAAACATTTGTAAAAATGAAAAACATCTTAAAAGGGCTCAGAATTCAAAGCAAAGTTCACATATCCAAGCTGAAAAAAAAACCCGTTGTGTGAATCCTGGCAAACAGGACACACGTGGCTCTGGAAATACGTTCTGATGTACAGATTGCCCTTTTTTTATTGCTCTGCATGTGTTGCCCTCCTCACCAGGCTGATCACTTCATTAAACTGTAGTGGTTTGGTTATGCCTGTAGAGTCTTAAAAAGCATGCACATCCTCAAAGTAATCCATGTTGGGTATGCCCCTGGGGCAGTAAAAGGAACAGATGGTGGGATGCAATGACTACGATGCCTCGGACACATCAGCTGTCCAGAGAAGGTGTTCCAGCAGAGATTTCTCTATGCTACATTAAATTTTCAAGATGTTACTGTGAGTGTAAATAAGCTTTTTGAGTGTATTAAGTTCACCCCCAGGTGAAGAAAAAAGTACACTCTTTTTTTTTTTTAACTCTCTTGAAAGGAAAGGGACGAGGACAAGTCATTGGGTTTGAAATCTCTAACCTTCATTCAATGAGCTATCTGCCAGATCCCAGCAAAGCACCGTAGGCCGGGAACTTTGTCTTCTGCAGGCTTTGTGCAGTTGAAATCTCCTCAGTAAATAATGTAAGCAACTCAGGGACATGCTTTGATATGAGGAAATAATAAAACTAATTAGGTAGTAATATCAGATTCAAATTGCTCCTGAGCCTGTTGATAATTCATAACATTCCCATATTGTACCTAGATAGTCTCTTTGGCTGGAGTGGGAGTTGTTTTTCTTTTACTAGAGATCTATGCAATATAAAGGATTTTTTCTGGGGAACATTTCTTCTCCTCCTTCCTTTATTTTAAGTGATGGGGGAAATTAGGTTAATTATTCCCCTGTTAAGTTAATTGTAGTGTACTTTAATAAAATAAAACTGGCTTATGTAAGTCAACTCTTGAAGAGGGAAAATAATTTTATGTGCCAGAAGGTGTGTTTATTTTTAATTAGAATTTTCACTTAATGACTTTTTTAAATTTAATTCTATTTTAATTCAGAGGAGGTGGACCATTTTACGTGTTAATGGGACATGAGACTTTTACATGTAGGTCACTGGTTTGATTTCCTTCCAGATCTGTAGTGAATGAAAGTTGTTAGGATGTTGAACAGCTGTCAGTTGGAATGAGAAACGTGATGGTCTCAATCCAGGTCCTTGTGAGGAGGTGCCTAAATGAGAGCAATCACCACCACAACTGACAATAACTGGCATCTCTGTTGGCAGCCTCTGCCAAGGAGCCAAGAGCAGGAGGGATATGGAGCCTGTACCATTCTCTTGCTTCTCACCATAGGCACTGCAACCCTGAACTGATGCAGAAAAAGATGCAGAAAAGTTCTCACTGAGGTTACTGTTATTCTGGGTCTGTTGTGCTAGAAGTTCAGCCTGTTAACCAGGCACTTAATTCATTACAGAATTACAGTATGTGTAATTTCATCCAGCATATTGCATCATATTTATAAGCAAGTATGTCAAAAGACTCCAAAAAGGAGTTAATTCATTCAACATCACTTGGTCTTACCAAGTTGATGGGAGCACAGTGACCTCCCAGTGAAGGTAAGTGATGTCCGAGAACCATTTTCCATCAGTTGCCCTGAGAGTATGTCAGAGCCTGTGTGGCACACTCAGGGCACACTTTGTTTTCATTCCTGTTGCTGGGTGCTGAGAGCATCCAGGCTTGCTGGTTTTAGACTGCAGATGCAGCGTTGCAAAAGGTGATTTACAAGCAGTAGCTTTTACTAGGAGAAAATATGAAATGGAGGTAGATACTACTAGTATCCTTCAACCACATATTGAGGGACAATTTAAAAATTTAACCTTTTCACTGATAATAACCATCTAGTTAAGGACTTTCCATCACACTTACCACTGTAATATTTAAAGACTTCCAGACCACACTGTCTAATAATCCAGCACTGCTTAATAATACAGCCTCTTGATAAACCCAGTCTGGAATTCTGGTCACAACAATGAAAGCTCCCTTGTTTATAAGAAATTACAATCAAAAACTCTTCAACTAATGTAATTAACTGGCTTTGTAAGTACCTTTTGTGATTGTATCTTGCATCCAGGCCCTGATGGTATGTCACGGAGCAGCTTCATATTCACATCAGTCACTATCTTGTCATCTGCTCAGACAGATCAGCACCGAGGGCACGCTGCTGTTGTGCCCTTGAGTGCATGTTGTACACACAGATACAGACTTCCCAGCAGGGACGAAAACAGACTCGGGAATAATCCATGGACACTGTCAGGGGCAAGTTCATGCCAGGATCTCCTCCTCCCTGTGTTGATCCTTGCCGGTTAGGAGATGACCTTGAGAGACCCACAGGGCTGAGCAACACGTACCATACTCAACTTGTTGTACAACAGACCTTGTAGTTATTCACCTTAGCACCAGTAAGTGCCACAACAGTGCGTAAAGACCATCACCAGAGAGGGCATCTGTGCAGGAAAAGAGAAGCCAAGGGAATCCAGCTGTTTTTACCCTGGAAACTGTGAAACTGGGATAGCTGAGTCATGTACCAATCCCCACTCCACCATGCAGCCGAATGATCCACCCCTGACTACTTTTAACCTGCCCTGTGGGGGGGAATCAGAAATGCATACACCTGCACAAGGCAGGACTGTGTGTCCTGCTCCTTGGTGCTTTGTAAAGGCAACGTCAAGTATTCTATAATCCTTTCACTCAACAAGAGATTGCACAGTGACCAAATCCTGCTTGCCTTCTTCAGATGAATAAAATAATTTTAGTAATAGTCCTAATTGCTTCAGCAAGGCAAGCAGACTTTCTCCCTACATCTATTCACATGGCCTTGTTCTTTTTCACTGTGCTCAAACTTGATCAGATAATGTTAGAGGAGATAACAGCACAAAAATGTGATGAAATGTTCAGCATGATCTCTCTCCTCCCTGCCTGAGCTGCCCCTAGCCCGGAGGAAATGGTGTTACCTTCTTGCTCTCTTAGAGAAACATGTATTATGAATGACATAAACCTTCCCATTAGTTAACCCTTCCGATTGTTCCTCCGTGTCACCGACACCTTCAGCTGTAGTTGCGTACAAAAAGCACAGCTTTCAGCACAGAGCGTAAAGCACTGCCTTCCCGTGGACTAACGCTTAAAATAGCAGGTAGAGCTTGGACAGACTGTCAGCGTGATTCCGGCAACATCTTAGGTGTCACTTTAACAAAGCAGCATCCTGAAATGGGACTAGACACGTACAGCAAATAAGGCTAAGCTTGACCTCTTTCAATGAAAGATGCAGCAAAAGGAAAAAGCTCATCAGGCTTCTCCACGTGGCCCGTAGCAGAATGAATAGTGCACAGGCAGGTTATCGCACGCAGCTGAAACAGCGTGAGCACGAGGTGCCCAGGGCACTTGGGTCAGGTACGGTCTGTGCCTGCAAATCCCCAGCCGATGCATGCACGTTTCTGAGTCCTTGTTGAAACCGATATCCTTATTATTAGATTTGTTAAGCTCTACATTACAAATATGCTTTCTTGCATCATAGATAACTTGGAAGTAAGTCCACGTTTTTACAGAGAGTTGAAAATGCAGTGACAATATGGATTTATAATGCTCTGACTTGTTTGTGAAAGGCAATGCTACTGTTTTTATGGAGACTGCAGAATACTGGAACAAGTATCTCATATACATTGTGGGTATCTGTATGCATGACAGTCTTTCTGTGACAACCACTGCTGCTGCTGCAGTCTTTTAAGGATCTGGGCTATTAAAGTGAATTATGATGATGGTTTCCAAAGCGCCGGAAGAGCAGAATCCTATATTGCTGCACAATCCTGAAGGCCACAAGAAGGGAATAGTGCTGGTGTGGCATACAAGAGCGTGTGCAGGTCTCTGGAGCTCCCAGCAGAAGCAGTGGCATTCTTCGGAGTGGTGCAAGCAAAAGAGACACTTCATCCTTTCTCTTCCCCTGCCTCCCCCAGACAGCTCGCAATCCAAATCAAAGCATTTTGCTGTCCACCACAAGAGGCAAGGCTTTGGAGAGTGAAAAGCTGGGGTGAGAGGTGGAAGGTGAAAGCACAGTAGGAAAGTATTTGATTAGGGAACTAGAACGGGGTCTGGGAAACAGGATTTAAATTGCATTCAGACTGTTTAGTTTGAAAATCCAGTGGATGCAGCCTTTTCTCATCACATTTCAGTTTCTTGGAATAAGGCCAACCCACTCGGACTGAGGACAGAAAAAAAAAATGTAAGAAGATTTTGAGTAGAAATAACTTTGAATTGCAGTGATCAGCTATGAATCTCAGCCCTCCCCACCCCCCAGCTCCTAAACAGTGTGAGTAGTGCTCTAGTCTGTAGCTGTGCTTGGGTTTTAAGCTTTACTCAGTCAGTTGGGTCTTAGAATTTTGTTCTCCTTTGTGCAAGTCAAGTTAATGTTCAGCCAAAAAAAATTAGGCTTCAGGTTAATAATGATGCCCGTGCAGTGAGTGTGCTCAGGTTCAGCTGGGGTACTGCACTTGCTTACAGGGTTTGACACCAGCATACTACCGATCTGTAAGGATTCCTTAGGCTGGATGTTCAACAAGCTTGACATGAACTATGACCTGCTGCTGGATCCCTCAGAGATCAGTGCCATTTACCTGGATAAGTATGAGCCATGTGTCAAGCCGCTCTTCAACTCTTGTGACTCCTTCAAAGACGGAAAGCTTTCGAACAACGAGTGGTGCTACTGCTTCCAGAAGCCCGGCGGTGAGTTGTGCAATTTGCAGTACAAAGAGGAGTTGTTTGGGTCTCCCTGTATTTCAGGCTTGATTGACCTGCTTATAGAGATGGTTTGAGTAACTGGCAGTCAGCCGCGTTAAAAAGCTCTTTTCTTCAGCACTGCTGTGAAAGGGCATTGTGTCACAATGTTTAATGTCACAGATGAACTATATTAATATCCCTTGATCATTAAAACAAACAGAGAAGTAGTAAGTGCCAGTGCACGCAGTCTAGAAGTAAGCTCTTTGGCTGATAAAAAGCTCAAGAACTTTCTCCTTTATTAATGCAGAAATTAGTCAATTAACGAATCATAAATTAGAGAGCTGGCATTATGTCAGTTTGTTGAAAAGAGAGGAAAAATGGTTTAACAATGAAAATGGCCCCCAAACGCTATTCTCAACTACAATGTGTTGCTTTTTTTTTTTTTAATTAGTGGAGCTAATGACATAAATTTGTTTTGCAGTACTGTACCAGCATATGTGCTTCTTTCGTTCCCAGGTGTACAGTAGTCTACATTTCATGTCAGTAGTGAAGCCAGTCATTACAGAGTCTGTCCTGTACCATCTGGAAACTGATTCTCATACATTATATTTTAGGTCTTCCTTGCCAGAATGAAATGAATAGAATTCAAAAGCTAAGTAGAGGGAAGAGTCTGTTGGGTAAGTTCGATTACTTGCTATTCATTTACTCAACTAATTAAAGCTTCCGTGATTATTGTAACTTTATATGCAGTAATGGTTTTTCAATTAGAGACTAATGTTTTGAGTCAGGAATATGCACCATGGAGCGTAGGCCTGACACTATGAAATTAAACAAATAATGAGATAGCAACATACAGAACATGTGTCAGCGTGGCAGAGGGTTCAGAACTGAGTTACAGAAATGCAAAGCCTTGTCTGCACAGAGCTTAATACTGCCTTCATCACCTCGTAGGTCAGAATAAGTAGAGAGGTTGCTTGATACTCAGGCCTCCTATTTTTGAAGGGTGACTGAAGGTGCCACAGTGCATAGCCAATGGGTTCATGTCCTCTTCTAGTTGTGGTGCAATGCATGCATACCTGGGGGTTCAGTTTTGCCTAATCACCCTTAAAATATTTCAGTATATTCCATGTATATGAAAAAGGAGTTCAAATCACCTCTCTTTAGGCAGCCCTGCAGGATGCTTCATGCTGTAAGATGTGATAATGCCTGCCCCTCTTTATTGACTATTGGGAGCCTGAAGTGATTCATAACTTACATCGCTCTGATGGATATCTAAACTTCGGTGAAATAAAGGCCCATATGGCATTTTCCCATTTAATTGCTAAAAAATCAGGTTGTTGAACTGAGTAAATTTAAGGTAACTAATTCCACACCCTAAAATCACAGAGTGTTACGTAGTCTAGCGTTTGTGTGGTGGAAAGAAGTTTCTTACTGAAACTTCTACGCATTTGTGTACATAGAGCCAAATCACGCGAGGCAAACCAGCACAGATGAAAGTCTCTGTTTACAGAAAGCACTGCATTTCAACCTTGAAGAGTCTGGCTTACCTCAGGCCCAGCCTATCATGCCCATCGCCCAGAACTCATGTCAGGTTCTTACAGCACCACTAGCTGCAGCACAGAGCATGCATGTCAGCTCTGCTGCAGTGCTTCTCAGATTGCAGGCTGCTTCTCAGGTTGCTCTCAGATTTTAGTCTGATGTTTCTAGATACTCATTAGCAGACCCTGCAAACAGAGCTTCTGCAAAGCTCATCTTTGCCAAAGCCTTCCATTCCCAGATGCCACTGCCATTTGGACTCAAGGTTCAGGTACCTTATGAACAATCCCAACCTGGATTCTTGGTTTAAAATAAGAATAAACACTCCCAAAGGCCACAGGGACTATGGTTTAGTTTCCTCATCCCTTCATAGCAAGTTCACATAAAGATTAAGATGTTGCAGAGTTATAGCTCCTGCTGTTCATAGCTGTGGGAGCAAAGGGAGGATTGATCGCTCGGTTGTATGTGTGCTCCGTTCAGTAAATATTTTGCATTTGTGTTCGAATGCATGCTGTGGCAGCGGAAGTCATGGTGTTCCCTGTCTCATGGGTGTCATGATTTTTCAAAGCAACCTAAAAGAATAAGCAGCCCAGTTCCTAATAGATAGCTTTGGATATCCCATATTTATTTTATGCGTTGCTGTTATTTGCTATATGCAATGAACGTCATATAGCTTTAAGCATAAGTGGTTTGTTCTGTGTGCAGGGAGAAGTGATGGCTGTATCGCAGGTAGTACAACACGCAGGCAGTTGTAGCACACATGCTGGGACATGATCGCAACAGCAGGAGTAAAATGACAAAGTAAAATAGCAAGAACAGCCCCTTCCTGGCCTGTATCAGCAATGGTGTGGCCAGCAGGAGCCGGACAGGGATCGTGCCCCTGTCCTCGGCACTGGTGAGCCCGCCCTTCGAATCCTGTGTTCAGTGTTGGGCCCCTCACACAAGAAGGACGTTGAGGTGCTGGAGCGTGTCCAGAGAAGGGCAACGGAGCTGGGGAGGGGGCTGGAGCACAAGTCTTATGAGGAGCAGCTGAGGGAACTGGGGTTGTTCAGTCTGGAGAAGAGGAGGCTGAGGGGAGCCCTTATCGCTCTCTACAACTACCTGAAAGGGGGTTGTGGCGACGAGGGTGTTGGTCTCTTCTCCCAAGTAACTAGTGGTAGGACGAGAGGAAATGGCCTCAAGTTGCACCAGGGGAGGTTTAGATTGGATATTGGGAAAAATTTCTTTACAGAGAGAGTGGTCAGGCATTGGAACAGGCTGCCCAGGGAGGTGGTGGAGTCGCCATCTCTGGAAGTGTTCAAAAAACGTGTGGATGTGGCACTTCAGGACATGGTTTAGTGGGTATGGGGGTGTTGGGTTGATGGTTGGACTTGATGATCTTAAAGGTCCTTTCCAACCTTAATTATTCTGTGATTTTGTGTGATTCTTACCACAAATAACTTCTAGTCAACTGTACTAAAAAAAAAATGAAGAATGAAAGTAGCTAAGCTCAACAAATCAAGAAGCGTCAGGCATAGGTTGTTCCACAAGCTAGAAAATTATAATGTAGAGAGGAACTCTGCTTCACCTGCCTTGCAAGTCTGCCTGCATAACAGCATCTGTCTGTGAGATTTTAATCTGATCTCACAGCTATTTATACAGTGGAAAACATTGTCTTTTCTCTTCACTGACTGAAAAATCATGCAAATCAAAACCAAAACATACACGTGACAAAATATATGCTTGTAGCAACAATGAAGATTGAAAAGAGGGACGAATATTTTCACAGACTCTGCCTTTAATTATTCTCTCTCCTCTCTGTCCCTGGTATAATAGAGCACAGCATTTACAGTCTGGGCAGTACACATGAAGAAGATTTCTGTTAACTTGTATCCATTGGTAAAAAACGATGACTTTTGATATTTTGTTCTCTATGTATTTTTCAAAACACATGACAGTTGCAACAAAGTACTTCAAAGCCATTGCCATTAGATATGTTGAATTTGGAGGCTTTCAAATAGAGTCTAGCATCCCAGGGGACTGAATTAAAAAGTAAACAGCACTATTCATCTTTTCCTACCAGATTTATCTAGAGTACAATTAACTGCAGAGAGTGTACTTTTAGAGCATACAACTGTGCAGCCTGATAATGCTTCTCCCACATCACTAAAGTAATAAATTTCTGCTCCCATCACTATTTTCTTCCGTATCAGCCCTGTGAATTTAGCTAACATAATAGCTAATATGGGGAGCTGTGTGCTGGCTAGCACTTAATTCTGCCAGGCTTTTACCTGTGTGCTTCACTATCTTTAGCATATAATTATTCTCCCCATACCCTCTGCAGAAGGGGACTATTATATAGATAAGGAAATTATGCAAAAAACAAGAGAGAGAGAGGTCTGGATCCATAAAGAGGATATAGATGCGGCAGTACTGTTCAACTTTGTGTGGAATAATTAAATACTCCATGGGACGAAGAGAGACGGGGAAAGCAGGATTTGCTAGCCGGAGGCAGCTCGGTGGGGAGTGGCTAACATTTTGCAGTGCTTCATAGTAAAGCTGCTCCGCCAGCACTCTTCTCTGCACTTGTGGGGAAGTACCGTCTGTGCCAGAACCTCTGGAGAGGGAACGGGAACTCCTTTCTCCTTCCAAACCCTGCGGATGCTCTCTGACACCAAACCAAATTATGGGGTGAAATGTTGGCACTAAATGGGCTGTCCGGATGCCATGCTCCACCAGAGCTTGTAGCCACAGCTTATTTCTAATGAACACTGGGGCTGATTTATGCAGGATTCACAGGACAAACCATCACACTGTACAACATTGCTCCCAGTGACTGTCTCCTCACCACATTATCACCTGCACCTGACACATTGGAGAAGATGTGCTATAATCATCCCTCTGATGGTTGGCAAATACTGTGGCATTAGTATGCGTAGCTAAATATTTAAAGATCCAACGTTACGTACAAATTGGCACAAATTTCCCATGCAGAAGAAGTACCTTCTACTTTTCACCGTGACCCAAAGTGTGAACCCTTTCCACACACCGTTATGTTGGCAGTGAGCCTGGGCCATAACTTATTTTTAAACCTATGGCTTTTACAGGCACTGTGGAACATTTTAATACCTTACAGTGAAACTATGGAGAAAGCTCCTTTTCAAAGAAGGGAGAGGTTGCATTGCCCAAGGAAGAAGAGAAAGCATGAGACAGTTTAAAATGCAGAAGCCATTCTGTGCTCACCCTGTAATGCCACTGAGGTTCCTCCTTTGATTCTTCCCTGGAGCCAGATGTTCATCTGATTTAACAAGGGAGCCCCAGTGACACTGGTACAGCTCTGCTGATTTACAGTAGCTCAAAATCAACACCTGAGCACTTTTCTCAAGGTTGTGTATAGTCTGATAAACACCTGGAGTGCTTAACAGAGAGAAGCCATGAGCATAAATATGAAAAAAACTTTCTCAATCAATATTGAAGTAAAGGATTGAACAGTGAGCATTAACTTAAAAAAGCCTGCAGAGGCGAGTACATATACATGGTTATTAGAACTGTGTTTTTATGAACAGTGCAAACGAGTCTTTGGTAGTCATCAGTATGCTTACATTTGTACATGAACATAATGGTGGTACCTATAAGCAAACCTGCTATAAGATCTTGCTTTGAAGTTATTTAAAATATTCTCACTAATGGATGTGAAGTGGTCTCCAAAACTGACCCAATATGCAAAGATTTCTGTAGATGTTCAAAGGTTTCTGTTCTCGTCTTCCAGGCCTGCATTAGCAGCGCTCAAGCATTAGACAGTATCTGCAGTGCAATGAGTTTGGAAATTCAAGGATTCACTTTATATGGGGGGGCGTGGTGGTGTATGAGGTTGACTGACTTCCACTTTTACATCTTTTATATAGGAAATTTCATGACATTTGGGCAGCACACTCATTCATTTTTTTCTGTGAGAAATGTAGTGGAAATAGCTCCTTTGACACATGAACTGTCTGAAGAGATGCTATACGCATGGAACTAGTTAAAAAACTTACTGCATGACCAGTAAATCACTGCTATCTTCGACAAAGCAGAAAAATACTTTCTCACAAACATTTGAGACAAGAAATTTGGGGGCAAGGGTGGGTTTCTGCCATGTTTCAAATTGAAGCAGTTGGTAAAGAAGGGAAAATGACTGTGCTGACCTCTCCTGGGAATAAAGCTAACTCATCTCGAAGGACAAGAGGGCTTTTCATACTGAAATACATTCGCTGTAACTGCTGAAAATGGTGGGAACAATAAAAGGATTTCTCCTGAGAGCTCCCCTGTCTGCAGAAGCCAGAATGAACCGCACTCTACAAGGCTGAAACATACTGGTTTTATTGTCAGACCAATCTTGGGCTTCAAATCCAAAGACGTATCGACTTCAAATGCTGTTGTCCCTCTCTGTAAAGCTTATCATTACTTCTTTCATATATGGGAACTCCCAGGCAGTCGGAAGTTGTGCTTGAGATTAGTGTGAATAGCAAGCAGATGGCAGTGCTGTGGAAAGACTTACGTTACGAACGCTGAAGGAGTACAAATGGAAGGGAAATGCAGAATTAATTAAGTTGGGGTAGTAATCCAGTTGGGAAGAAAAGTTTAAAACCGGGAGTTAAATCTGAAAGGGGCTCTGTGGGAATATTAATCATTCAGGGACAGACTGAACCTCTCTCTAGTACCGTATGCCATCACCCTCCACGTGCTATGTATACACAAACATTTATCCACTGTGCAGTGACCGGGGTGGCTGAAAATAGTTAATCATACCTAATTTCCGCTCTCTTTTAAGCACCAGATAATCACACATATTTTCTTGCCAACATTGTAAAGATCTATATGTAAATAAGTGACAAGTTCATAATGCTCTATATACCTGCTTGCTCCTACGGAGGCTTGCACTACTGATCATACCTTATATTTTATTCAGGTGCTTTCATCCCACGGTGCAATGAAGAAGGTTATTACAAAGCCACTCAGTGCCATGGCAGCACAGGGCAGTGCTGGTGTGTTGATAAGTACGGGAATGAGATAGCCGGCTCAAGAAAGCAAGGGACGGTTAGTTGTGGTGAGTAATGATGTGCTTCCCTCAGAGAACAAAGGTATTAACACTGTTGTAAGCCCTGCCATTGCTGTACGATGGAGTACGATAACAAAAGTGACAGCAAGGAAACATGACTACCAGTGTTCAAAGTGCTGCTGTATTTTCCTATTCAGACTACAAATGGGGCCCTTGTATACATATAGGTCCTTTGGACTGGGGGTTGCAGCAGGAGTTAACAGGCAATAACCACTGAGAAGAAGATATTTTTGTTACCAGCCTGGAAAAGGTTGTAATTTATATTAAAATTAAGGCTATGGGATTGCTATGCATGGTTATTAAATATGTTGTTCTTTGTAGGCTGGAACATACATTTACTGGGACTCCATGAATAATGTCCTTCCAGACAAAGGAAGGCCTAAATGTATAAAATTTTATAAATTAACAACCAAGCCCAATGGAATTGCTGACAGGCCAATATTACGTAGATATGTGAAATCACCAATTAGCTGTTACACCTAGGCAAGCAGGATTTCAGCTGTATTCCTTCAGAGCGCTTCAGTGACGGTTGTGGATGCAGCTTTCCTCTTCGAGAAGGAACAGAAAAAGCAGAGATATAGGAGGTCGGAGATGCCCAGAATCACATCACAGATGTTAGGCTCAATAGCTGCATTTGCAGAGTGTGGTTTATGGACTCAAATGAAATCAGTTTGCGGAATATTTTTAGCCTGGTTTACAGAGTTGTGATGGGAAGAAAGTATTTACAAATGAGTAATGATTTTCTGGCCTGCATGCATGTGAACTGAGACTCTCCAGTCAAGTCTCTAGGAGGAGGGTGGTGCACAGTTTTTTATGCAAGTAAATTTTTCAGAGTAAAAGGATATATATTTATCCCAGTTCAGGATGAAAATTGAAATTTAGAGGTTGTTTCACGAGTAGCTGAGCCAATTAATTTAAAAAGTAAAATTGCAAATGACAGTGGCTTGAATGACAAGGGTAGCGGTGAACAAGGGATTTGGTGTCATTTGAGGGAATGACCTTTCCTGCTCACCTGTTTCAGAAGAAGAGCAAGAAACCTCAGGGGATTTTGGCAGTGGTGGATCTGTTGTATTGTTGGATGATTTGGAAGAGGAACCTGAAGCAGCAAAAAAAGACAAAGAAGGGAAACTGAAGATTCATGTAAGAGCAGCTAATGAAGATGATGAAGATGAAGACGATGATAAGGATGATGAAATTGGTTATATATGGTAGTGCCCATCATAATGAGGACTCACGTTTTGCACAATATTGCAAGTCACATCATATCTCTGCAATTGTATCTGAGAGTACCTGGCACAAATATTCCCTCTCTACTGAGTTTAATTTTGTATAGTCTATTTAATTTGGAAGACAACTTTTTTTCCGAGCGAGGACTGTTTGGAATACAGCTTTTGTTCAGTTGGTTTGGGGGATTTTTGTTCTATCCACAGGGCAATGAATTTTGTTTCACAAACATTTCATGTCTTAATCCTCACTTGCACAGCCTAAGAAATATATTCTGTGAAAGAAGACTCGCAGAAGGGGCTCAACAAACCAACACAAGGCTTAAAAGCCCTTCTTATGTTAGAGAATGTGTGTCGTAAATTGTTTACCCGGAATCATATCAGAAACCGTTATTTTTCTTTCATGAAGAAGGAAAAGTAGGTGCCTCATTTTCTAGTCCATATTTGTTACATTCCAGTAAAGATTAAGTCTCTTTGGATAGTGACTTCTGGCTGCACAGCACCAGGGGTTTAATCCAGAAAGAAACCCAGTGGCGGGGCTTTCTCTTCCTTACATTCTCCAAGAATGAGTCCAACAGGCGTAGTCCAGCCCCCACTGAAGGCAGAGCTCCCACCAAAGCGTAGATCAGCTCACTGCCACTGTTTATTTGGTTAAGGAACGTGGCCTTGATCTTAAGAGATGCTGAGAACCTGCAGCTCTCCTGGACGAAGCCCTACAGGCAGGGAACAGAGTCCATCTGCCTTTCAAAGCGTTTAAGAAAAGAGTGTTTCGTGGATTTGTAGCATCATCACCACCTCCACAGCTGTTCCTCAGTTCTGTCTGAACTCATTTGCGCTAAGAGTTGCGCTAACACCGGGCGAGCAGCCTCTGCTTCCTGCTCACGCACGACGGATCTGCCTGTTCTTCATTTACTCTTAGCGATCCCTCATTCCAAAGTTACAAAGCTGTCAAAGACACTAACCATCAAAAGTAATAAGCTGTCGTTTCTTTAATTTAAATAGTTAATATTTATTTGGCCTATTTCAAAAAGCAACTTTAGGTGGTCATGTTTCAAAAGCATAACCCCTTTGCTCAGTGTGACAAGCTGCACACTCATACCACACAATTAAAAGAGAATAGTATTAAAAGACATCTGTGATTCCCTCAGCATCTCCCAATATCCATAGCTCTTCAATTGTAACACAGCATACTGACATTAAATTATTTGCTGTGTCCTTTCCCATTGCGGTTCTCTGATGCAGTAATGTGAGGTTTTCTTATTTTTGCTGTTTTCAGAAACCGTAAGAGGTACCTTAACCCCACTCTTGCATTAGGATGCAGGTGTAAGTATTTTAGCAGTGCCGGTAATTTGCCCGTGAGTTATTTTGCAGAATGAAAAATGTGCTTATTACACAGAAAACTAATTAGATCGATTTTTTTTTTTCCTCTGAGTTAGTGTTGAATATGGAGGTGGAGACAGTATGGAGTCAAAACATGGCTGGTTGCATATTCACTCAAAAGAAGGAAAATACCATGCTGGTTGGCAGAAGTCAATTTTTTAGGGACACTGGCCCAAGGACTGTGGTCATCAGCCCTCTCCAAAGTCAGTGGCCACTGCAGAGCCTGGTAGGGCTCTGCAGCCCCTCTCCCGCTCTGGGTGGGACCTCTGCTTTCAGACATGGTTGGAAGAGGAGCTCCTTTCAGACACTATGTGTTTCAGGGGCTCAGTTGTTTTCTCCTCTTTCATTTCCTATTTATCTAGATCAATGACCTGAGAACAAAGAACAAGCCTGCATAATTGTTATTAATGCAAAAGGATGTGTAAAATCACGAGGAATTTGTTGTGTGTTGTTTCACGCCCCCGCATCTTCCCAAAAATCTGCCATCACAGTCATTTGCAAAAGGTCTGCAATCCTCCCTGCCTCAAATCCCTTTGGCTTTCCTATAGCTTTTGAAAGATTAGTTAAAAATCATTGTCCATGAGCGGCACAGCACACACACACACACTTGCAAGAGGAACAGATACAACCAGCATTTCTGTTTCCCTAAATAGTATGATTTTGGGGGAAGCAATTAAGACTATCAGTAGCTTGCTTCTCAGGCAAGCAAACCAGCTACCATCGTAGCTGGTTTCCTTCTCCTATCTTATTAATTAAACCCATTCTCTCTGGGTCTAGCTCTGCTCTCCTGTGCAGGACATGCCTAAGGCACAGAGTTGCCATTTCACTCTGATATAAAACTGAGGTCCACAACTGGTAGAGTTACACTTTTCCCCCTGACTGGACTCATCCTCCACGCACAACCAGTTTTTTCTGCAGTCCTGTGTCCCTTTGCAATGGCTTGTCCTGGAACCAAGCATTACTTCAAAGGCCACATAGTAAATCCCTTCTCCTGCCCTGCACTTCATGGGGGTAAATCCCATCTAATCAAGCCCTTGCAGGCAGCTCCAGGGTCCAAGGTTGCAGCCCTTCTGTGTCACGTACAAACATGCAAGATGGTTAAATAAAAGCTGTTCAATAAGTCGTTTAAAAGTGAACGTGGACATCCCTCAGCTTAGATGAGCAGACATGCCATTTCTCAACACCTTTGATCCTCTCCTAGCTGTAACCTCTCGCGTGCAGCTGTTCCAAATCAGAGCTGGCAGGTTTTATATCTTAAACTATAAAATAATTACCATCATCTCAGACTCACCAACTCAAACATGCCGTGGGTACCAGTCAAGCTACTCTGTGCCCAGCACAGCCAGGCAAGAGGGCAGGTGCCTCGGCTGGTTCAGCTGACCTCTGGTAGCACAGTTCCCTTTGCACAAGCACACACACACACACATACACACGTACACACACCCCTTTTAAGCCTGCTGGCCTGGACCCAGGAAGACACCCCGAGCCAGGCGATCGGTCGGTCCCCTGCTTCAGTTGTTCAGCTGTTCTTCCGAATTAGGGCCAGCATTGGAAAAGTGCCATTTTATTGACTAGTTCAGTTGTGTACGACTACAAGAGAGTTTAAATTTAGGGAGTAGTGTCAAACCCTGAGGTGGCACAGCCTGGTCAGGAACAGGGCAGACAGGCGGGTGTGCTTGGAAGGGCAGCTCAGACTATGGATTGCTTTAAGGGGAAGTTTCTGAGTCTTACAAAGCTATTTAGCAAAGCCCTTTTGTGATCCAGTGGCATCCTCCAGTGGTTGGGTGATCAGCAGCCTATATATACATATATGTGTATATGCGTGTGTGGTTGTATATATACATTTATACACATATATGCATGTGCATATGTGTGTGTGTGTCCAGTTTGGCAAGATGCATTAAGAAAATGTTTTATTTCTTTAAAAGAAACCAGCAATTCTACCAAGAACCAGTGCTCTTCCAGATCAAGCCCCTTCCATTCATGCTTTGTAAAGGATTTAATTTGCTTCCAGCTTAATTTAATTCCTTTCTTTTTCTTTTCTTTTTTTTAAAGCAGGACTTCCCATCTGCATCAAGTCATTGACCTTCCAAACATTTTCTCATTGTGAAAAATGGAATCAGAGTTGTCCCATTTTTGTAGAGGCACAAACCAATTTTTAATCACATTTTCTTTTCATATTAGAGACTACGAAATACTGTTAGGCATTCTTTATGTTTCAAGGTGTCCTTTTAACTACTGTGGTTAAATCAAAATCTCCTTGAGTTCAGATTTCAACACAGTTGGGTTTTTTGGGTCATTACTAGCCTTTGCTGTGAACACAAAGAATCCTTTTCTTTGCCTTTTTTTAAGCTATTCTGTACTATTATTTTAAACCATTTCAAGTGTTTATTTAATATTTATTCTACAGTTTATATTGAAAATGTAAAGTTTATATTGAAAATGACACTGTTAGTGAATGCTTCTCTTTGCCTCTCCAGCCTAGTCTGTTAGTCTCAGTGTACATTTCTGGCATGGGAATATTTTGATATTAGGAGTTTTGTAGCATTTTCCCCTCAAGCAGCAGATGACATAGATCTAAGGTCACCACTTGATACAGACCACCAGATAGCTCAAGCTTGGCTTCCTACATTTGTTGGCTTTTATTGCAGTCCCTTCTGTATGCCGTTCAGGTTCCTTTAATACATAGACTGCTTTGTACAGTTCCTATACATCAAAAAGCCCTTTCTACAGTAGGTGGGTTTTGGTCTTTTTATACTTTTCTCAATGCTGTTGATGTCCGTTACTGTTAAATGTGTAGATCTATAAGGAGAGATCCAAATATTACGTGTTTCAGTTCGATGTCCCTACTGTAGATGGATGTAGACTATCATAGTAAGTAGAATTGCGTAGTAAATTCTGAATGCTTTTTCCATAAGGAGTTAAGTGGAATGTGAGCATTTTGCTATCTTTGGTTAACTGTAAATGCTTAATTGTAGTCTGAAGTAGTTGCATTTTTGTCTGTCTCAATAAATTTTAATTTGTCTGCGACTCCTTATTGCCTGTCCTGAATTTTATTAAACTTTCGGGATCAAAAATACTGCAGTACCTTGAGTCAGCATTTAATCATGCATGGAAATGGATGGTGTTTTATATTTGGTTTATACCTTATAGCTCTGTTCAATGTCAGCTGTAATCTCTGCAGTTAATGTAAGGTCTCTAGAAAGCTGTATTTTAAAAGCAAGAAATGAAACTAAACTGAAAGTAATAACTGTACCAAAATCTGAACTTTTCAAATTACATTAAAATTGATTTTTAAGGAACAAGCAGGGGTGGGGGGGAGAAAGCTTTCATTTTTATTTCCTCCCCAGTTTGCAAATCGTGATGTTTTTCTGTCTCTTCTGAAGGTATCTAGGGCAATTTCTATAAACACAGCCACGTTCTACAGTGGCTATTACCTACAGTATGAATGAAGACAAAATCACATTGAATACAATTGGTGAGAAGCCATCCTCACTTAGAAATACCTGGTTTTGTGTCTCTATTATTAAATTAGAGCTCCTCTTTAATATTCTTAACTAATTTAAACAGCCAACATTATTACAGTGCTAATTACAGAGTTAAAAATGTTATTTCATCTCCTTTCCTCTGAATGTGCAATATTAAAGTACCACAGGAAAGCATGAAACCTATTTTCAAACATTTGTGCAATTACCATCTCATCAGGTAACACATTTTTAACTTGTCTGTCCATACGCCACTGGCTGCATTATGTCATCTAGGGTCACAACCTGCCTTAAATTTCACTTAAATTGACTGTATTCATTAGCTTATCTGTATTGTGGGTACCATACATTACTTCCAGTATGTGGCCTTACCTGACTCTCAGAACAGAAGGGTTTTCCCTTTGCAAA